ATAGTTTGTATATATATGTATATATATAGTTTGTATATATATGTATATATATAGTTTGTATATATATGTATATATATATATATATATATATATATATAGTTTGTATATATATGTATATATATAGTTTGTATATATATGTATATATATAGTTTGTATATATATGTATATATATAGTTTGTATATATATGTATATATATAGTTTGTATATATATAGTTTGTATATATATATATGTATCTGCCGAAATACCCTGATATTCGATTTTCTCCATCTCACCATTTATATTTTCTATATACATATATGACGATAATAAAAAATACAGAAATCTATATAAAAGTACTGTGTAGAATTCCCTCTTAACTCTGTAAGAAATGCGGATCTAATTATTTAAAACGATAGTACGCTGACCCTTTCTTACTTAAAGTAATTTCATATCACATATTTCCTCCCTATTCGTAGAAGGGATTTAACAAACCGATAATCGGTATTTAACAAATCGATACCTAACGAATACACAGAACGGAAAAGCGTCGATAGAATAGAGTGATAAAGCATTCGCGTAGACGTTCAAGTATGAAATACTATTTATGAACTGTAATAACTAATTTAAATATGGTAATTCTACGACTATGTCATCTAAGATTTTATTGGGCTTTGAAAGTGTTAAAAAGGAACAAATACCTGAACTTCGTATCCATTATTTCTTTGAATCGTAACGCTTCGAATGTTTCAATATTTTATTATAATAATTACTCCTCGTATCGTTGTTTTAATTCTTTTTATTTTATCATTGTACATGAGTCAAGAGATAGCTTTTTTTTTTTCATGATTATCGACTTGAAAGAGAAGAAAAAAGAAAATGAAAATTTTACTCTTGACGGGGCATCACGGAGAAAATGTGGTCTTTTAACTTCTACTATCGCTTACCTTCTCGATTCATTTTTCAAACGATCGCCTTTCGTTACACGATAATTCGATCGTTAAGCAATCAAATTGCCTTTTTTTATATATTTTTTTTTATTTTTATTCTCCTTTTCGTACTCTTTCTGTTTTACTTTTTTTTTCTTTTTTTTTCTTTTTAATAAGGACGAATTATACGATAAAAATTCTTTCATTCGTTCGAGCAGAATGTTCCTGGTTCGTTTGAGCGGAACGCTATTTATACGGTCTTTGATATTTTCTTGATTGACTTGACGTTCCTTGATTGTCGTTGACAAAAAAGTTTCAAATGTACATAGGACTGCTTATAAGAAGAATCCTTGTAAACTGTATTTAATATAATTTTTTCCAAGAATGGATGTGCTCTTTTACATTTGTGAATCGGTTGAAAGAGTCAAGAAGAAAAGATTAAAAAGGACAAAGAAAAAAAAAGAAAGTTCTTTTGTTTCCTATTTTTTTTTCTATCGTTCGCTTTTTTTTCACGGCTACTACCTACGTATCGTTATCAATGCAACAAAAATAGTTCTTGTTTATTCCATTAAATAATACACGGCACGTGGGAGGGAATAAGAAAAAACATATTTAAGAGTATCAAGATTCTTTTCAATATTTCTCAAGGATCTTTTTGGGGATATTTTTCGGTTTCTTGTTTTTCTTTTTTTTTTCTTGTTCTCTCAGGGAAATATCAAAGTTAGACATCAACTCGATCTTTCGTAGCGGGTAGGCGTTCATTCGTAGTCTCATAAAAAAATCACTTCCATCTTACGAATCTCGTTGTTTTTCCTGTTGTCGAATATCGGAAAATATTATAGCAGTTTCGAGTACACCGTTTTATAAGTCGTTTTAATGTACGATATCATATTAAAGAATTAAGAATAGGTGTACGATTTTTCGTTCTACCTATCACCTATCACCTATTAAATAAATAATAAATCACGTATTAGTTTTTACATCACGTTTATTAAATAAATAATAAATCATTGTTATTATATTATTACGAAAGAAATGTATAAAAGTCATAACTTTCTTGTGTATGAGTAATTCTCATATAGTAAGTCAGTTACATAAACTCATCCTTCAATATTTTTGTTTTCAACGATTGTATTATGAGTAGGAAAATGGAATATATTAGGTATCTTTGGATCTTCTTTTTCGCAATGATATTGAAACGCTGGGATATTGTTATTATGCACATTTATATTTTGCCGAAGACGCAATGCTACATCGGTCTAGGTTATTTCAAGCGTGGATGGAATACCAAACCGAAGAAAATTTCGTTTCGCGGAAGGACAACAGAAAGGAAAAAAAGAAGAAGAAAAATATCTTCTACGGTGATCCATCAGATTTTGCAAAAAGCTACGAAGCATTTCAAGCATATCCGCAAACTCGACTACTTTCTCAATCTTGTTTTATCTCCGTCAATTAATATAAATAAATAATTGCTGAACGGAGAGAGCCGAATTGGTTGCGAAGATATGATCTCCAAAATTGATTAGAATTATCTTTCCAGAAATGCGTAAATTATTAGATTTTTATACATTTTTCTTTTCAAACAATTTTCCTAGACTTTCTCATAAATCTAATTCGAATCGAATAATAGAGCGATAATTTCGATCCCAAAGAAGTTTATTTCTCTCGTTCCTATAAATACTTGTATCTATTTTTAGCTGTGAACGTTTCTACAATGTTTTCTCTTCGCGCCAATAATAAAGCGTACGTGACATCGACAGAGAGAAAAAGAGAAAGAAAAAGAGAAAGAGAAAGAGAGAGAGAGAGAGAGAGAGAGAGAGAAAGAGAGAGAGAGAGAGAAAGAGAGAGAGAGAGAGAGAGAGAAAGAGAGAGAGAGAGAGAGAATCGATATTGAAAAATAATATTAACGATGGTGATTGCAAAATAGCGGATCTCTCGTGGTCATTTAAAAAATGCGGAATTGTTTGGTCGGGCTATATGAACTGGTTGGCATTTTGCAATATGTCGAAATTTACGTTTTGCCGAATTTTCCACGCGTAACGCGTTTTAATCTAGGACACGTGCAAATTTTACGCGTTGAAAAGATCGTTCTTTTTAATTCTGAATTTCTTTTTTTCTTTTTTTAATTGTTCGGATAGATGTGTTTTAATGTTAGATCATATCTAGTTGCATCATATGATATAAAGATATATAAAGATATAAAGATATATAAAGATATAAAGATATATAAAGATATAAAGATATATAAACGTTAAATGATATTTTTTTTCTTCTATTACGAAAATTAAAAAAAAAAAAAGAAAAAATGAAAAAAATAGAAAAAATATAAAGAAAAAAACAAAGGATTAAATATTAAACGATGTCCAATATAATTTCACTTATTGTTAGACACCATTGTTATAACGTTACATCGATTGTTACAACGATTTCACTGATACACCCAGATAGGATTATTTTTAAATAGTATGAAATCGTGATATAAATCTGAAATTGTTGTGTATAGAGCACACGATAGAATTGTCGAGTTCATATCGATCGGCACCAATCTTACGCAAAATATATTATATCTCCCTTTTGTAGTTCTCTTTCAAAGAGAAAAAATCAAGTTGATATATGAGTCCGAAGCTTAACGAAAAAAAGAAAAGAAAAAAAGAATAAAAAAGAAGAGAAGAGAAAAAAAAAGAAAAGAAAAGAAAAAGAAAAAGAATGACAAATGATTGTATTTATTTGCGTTCATTTATTTATTAACGAAAGAAATGTCAACCAGCATAAAGTACAAGCAGTATTTCGAGAGAGGAAAAGTTCATCGGAGTTTGAAGGATTCACGGTTCAATAAGAGTAAGCGAATTGGCCGATCAAAAACACGCACTTTCTTCATTTTTCTTCCTTTCCCTAGTAACGTCTTTCTATAATATCTCATCACAATTTCTTTTCCCGAGATTTAACGAGTATAACCAAAACAAAATTTGTACCTAACAATTTATCAGGTATTTTAGTAATATATATTCTGAAGCGTCTAAGAACGAAAAAAAAAAGAAAACAAAGAAGAAAGAGAAAGGAAACAAATACAACAGAAAAAGAAAAGAAGGAAAAAAGAGCCAATTTTCTCTCTTTCAAAATTTTCCAAGTTTCTTCTCGAGAGCAATTCAACGGGGCGATCATGTGAAAAAAATTCAAATTCAGTTTATGAAGTTAATTTAATAAGAACAGGAGAGAAGATAATAAAGAAGAAAAAGAGAGCACCTTCGTTAGAGCTCGATAGGTCGTTAGTAGTTTGAGAATAAAAAAAAAAAAGAAAAAAAGAAGAAGAAGAAGATATAATTATGTATCAATCAAAGTTACGGTGAGAAAGATAGAGTGGAACATCTATCATAGCATAATTTCGAATTTTGATCTTGATCCACGAAAAACTCTATATGCTTTTGTATAAGCGAAGACGATATTTTTTCACTTTTTGCCTTCTCGTTCGTACGCATGAGTAAGTGCTTGTCTCTTCTTTATCTCTCTCTCTCTCTCTCTCTCTCTCTCTCTTTCTCTCTTTTTCCAACGATCAGATTTTTACATAAAAGAGAGGTCTTCGATCGTATACTCTTCCCTACGTATCTATATCTACGTTCGCCTATTCGCTCGCGCACTCGTTTTCCTCGACTTACCACATGTTGCGCCTTGGTTAGTGCGTGGGGCGCAAGTCAGAGCCACCAGGGGAGCCCGGGCCATCAGGATAGACTGAATCTCAACCCCTCGGCTCGATCAGTTACGCGAATGCCTGCGAACCTATCGCGAGCGTCCGAGAATTTTATTTGCGTGCAAACTCACAACGTTGAAACGATTTTTCTCCATCTTTCTCTCTCTTAGTCTCTCTTACTTTCTCTTACGTTCTCTTACTCTCTTACTCTCTCTCTCTCTCTCTCTCTCTCTCTCTCTCTCTCTCTCTCTCTCTCTCTCTCTCTCTCTCTCTCTCTCTATTTATTTGTTTCTTTTTCTCACATTTTTTTTTCCTATATCAACAAAATATAATAAGAGATTTGTTAAATATTTTTATTTTTATTGTATAAAAGAAAGAGACAACAAAAAAAGATAGGAAGAAAGAATAAACAAAAAAAGAAAAGAAAAAAGAAACCAGATAAAACTGTCCTCCTTATAATTTTTTCTTTGTCTGTGACAAGTCGTGGGATTTTTTTGTTTTCTTCTTTTTTGTTTAGTCTGTCATATTCCTAGATCGGCGGTTGTTCTTTTTTTTTTCGGTGTGACAAGTGTGATCTCGCGAGTGATCGAAGGACGATGCGCCGGAGCCAGTGAGCAGAAAGATCGACTTTCTCGATAAGGTCCGTATTCTTGAAGAAATCAGTGACCGTTATTGATCATTCAATTTTACCAAGAGATCTTGGATCGAGAATTTATCGTCCGAATTATTTCTCCTCCGTTTTCTTTTTCTTTTATTTTCTTCTCTCTCTCTCTCTCTCTCTCTCTCTCTCTCTCCTTTCTTTTCATTTCTTTATTTTTTTAAGTGATCATTGAACGAGTATGTGTATATATCGATTGATCAAAAACGCACAAATATAAACGAGCAGGCTGCTTGTTCGATAGAGAGATAACTTTATACGAAATGATGTCAATGATGATCATGACGATGCATATATATATACATATACACATACATACACACATATATACATAGATTATTCGGTACTTATTCGCTAGCTCGTTCGCTAGCTCGTTCGCTTGCTTGTTTGTATTATATCGACGTATGGATCTCGTTTTCGATGAGAATTATATACGTCGATAATCGTTCTCTCTTTCTCTTTTGTCAATAGATAAATGTAACATCGTATACATAACTCCTTCTGTTTGTAAAAATAGTGATCAAGTAAAGTAATCGAGTAGATTGTATAATATTTGACCAATTATATTCGAATTACATTCATGTAAATTGTGTGAGAAAGCAAAGTCATAAAAGAAGTTTCTTGTTCGAGAACGTCAGTTAGTCGAATTAGTTTGTAAAAACTTGTTAGACATAAAAGAAATACGATGCTTGGTACAAATAATTAAATCTCGATTAAAGTTTTCGCAGAGTTTTTAAATAAAAAAAACTTTCGAACAATTGATAGAAGAAGATACATATACTTTTAATCATCTTTATTTTGTTATTTATTTTTTTCTTTCGTTCCCAACGAATTCATTAATTTTATAAACTGAAGTTTGTGATACGCGGCGAAACAAGATATGGCGTTGCACGTTTAATTGCACGATGAAATATTCTTTGGATGCAGATGGCTACCGCAAATCAATGCGGTGGTTCCATAACTTCGAGTTTATTCCATACCTACATACGTACATATTTCGTGTTACGATGATAACATCTGTAACAATTTACTACGAATAGTTTGTATTACGTAAAAGAATAATTTTTTTGTATTTCTACATTGATGAATACAGGTGTTCAGTAAACGAAAGTAGAATGAAACGAAAATACGTGCAGCTTCGTTATCAATTTTGATCGTTCTAACGAGTGGAAAAGTTCGCTTATATGTCGGACATGCATCTTTTGCCGACGTTGTTATACTTCGTGCAAATTTAACGTGTATATATATATATACATACATACATATATACATATATACTTATATACATATGTACATATATACATACATACATATACATATATATTTACACATCTTCGTCATACGCTTACGTTTGTTTGTTTTTTTTTAATTTAAACGAATGACCCTAGTAATTAGACTACGGGAATTGTTAAACGCATCGAACGAAAAACGCATCAACGCGTGAATTATTATCGTTATACTTTACACGTCCATTTATTATTACTATTCTATGTAAATGTGACAGGTTTTTTTTATAATTTTACGAGGTATGATGCATTCAGATATTTTATTATGAGAATGTTTATTATTTATTGGTGCTATTAAATGCAATCCGACAATTCATTAATTTTATTTTTTCTTTGACATTAACTGTTTCACTGACGAAGTTTCGGATTAAATGAACCGCTTTCGAAACTATTTCGTAATTTTCTAAACGGTCTAAGTGTAAACGAGAAAAAGATAACAGCGTTATTTCATATATAATTTCATATATAATTTGATCACGGTGTTAGACAATAAGATAAGAACGAAACGAGAAAGGTGAAAAGATAAACATTTTTTACAATTTCTCTCTCTCTATGTCTCTCTCTCTCTCTCTCTCTCTCTCTCTCTCTCTCTTTTTTCTCTCTAGCACCTTCTAGTTTATTTTGTCATGTGACGAAAAACAAAATATCAAACGAAAAATAGATAGCAGCACAATTTTACCATGATTACTAAAGATGTAGAAAAGAAAAAAATAGAACGTGTTAATTATAGTTTCTATAGGATAGAAAGAGAAAACTCTCGTTTTCGAGCATGTAAATCCTATTGCTTGTCAACGCTATGCAAGCTTGAATGTTACATATTTTTCCATACGTCTTTTCGTGATGCTTTTTGTGCGTGTTGACAGTAGAGGAGAAAAGGATGTTTCATACATATGCCTCTATATATGTATCTATGCATGCACACATGCATTTATGTACGTATATACGTATGTATGTATGTATGTCGACCGAAGGAATAAACGGAAGCTCTTATTCGATGCTTTTTACAGAGACTGCCATTACGACGAATTTCGAAGTCGTTTGGTTTTTTTTAATAATATACACGAGAGACCGAAGAACGATATTTTTGTCCGTCGCCAGACTGCGAATATCGTCTATTTATAAAATCGGCGAGTAGTTGTCATTAACGATAAACCTTGTTCCAGATCCACCTTACGTGGACTTGGGTCAGTATCTTCTTTAATTTTATTTTCATTTGCTATTTTTCTTTTTCTCTTTCTTGTTTCCTTTATCGTTATATTTTATTTGTCTATTTGAATCACAAGTAAAATACAATGTAACCTCACTAACTCGGGAATTGATTAAACTTTAAATAGCTTTTAGCCAGTGCTAGCTTTTATCAAATTTTCAATTCTGGTGTCCGATGATCATTTCTATTTTCTATTTAAGTTCTATTGTTAAACGCGAGAAATTTTTTGAATAAATGGTATTTTTTCTCTTTTTAATCGATTATAATTTATTTTTACTTTTGATAATGTACAATAATATCGTAAACTTCGAACTCTAACGGAATGAACAAATTTATTAACTTTCTATTATATTTATCAACATTCTATATAATCGTATCTATTTATCTGAGTATATTTTTTTATCGTTGCTATAGTCGCAGGAAAAGCATTTTATTTTTAATTCATTCGAATTTAGAATATACTTTTTGTTAAATTAAAAAAAATACGTAATAAAATAAGAAATGAAGAAGAAAAAATTCAACTAAAAAGAAATCTTCGAATATATTTTGGACTGTTTAATATTTATCAATAAATCGTATTAAATTGGAATATCAAATGTATCTGTCTGTATCCAATAAACAACAAGATCTTTTTATATTATAGCTAAATCACGTGTTTCAATACAATATGTATTTTCTATTGGTTGAGTACGAAGAAGTGATTGAACTAAATGAAAAAAACGATGAAATTCAACGTGACTCGACCAAGGAAAGTGTGCGTCTCTACGAAACAAAAAGAAGAAGAAAAAAAAAGAGTAAAAAAATCTAAAATATCGATAAATTTAATACCTATTGTTAGAAACGATTGCGTAAGAACTTCTCAAATAAAAGGTAACTTTGCGAGACTTATAAGAATAATTATTTATAAGGATTCAAAGATTCATAATTATGCGAGCTTGAATGGGTAATTGTTTATGGCGTTAAACGTAACGATAATGATTCATGGAAAGATGAGAAAAAGCTATATATTATGATTTCTCCTCGTCCACGCGCAATGAAATAGCAACGAGTTGGAACGATTCCAGAAAAGCAACGGAATCGATGAACAATGCGCGTAACAATAGCACTTTGTTCGATAATGGAGAGCTTTCAATATTCGCTGACTTACAGGATTCCCCGACGAATCTTCCGTTTCCGTAAATAGAAAGGCTTTGCGTAGAATCGTGAAATTAAATGGACGAATATCTAAAAGATCGACCTGATTTATCATGAGTTAGAATTTTAATATTAAAAATCGTTGATAATCTTTATCGACGTAGGTCGTGACGTATTTACGCGAGTATGTACGTATATATTATATATATATATATATATATATATATACACACGAATAAAAAAAAATGTAAAATATTTATTCGTTTTTATTAACTTTTATTTAAAGAATTTGACAAATTAAAAAGAAAAAAGAAAAAGAATTTCTATTAAAAATATCAAATTTATTTTATTTAATTTATATAAGATATAGTTATGTAGGTATGTGTTGTACGTATATCGGCATAGATCTTTTTTCTCATTCAAATAAAACGGATAATTGTGAAAAATTATATAGGCACAAAGAGAGAAAAAGAGAGAAAAAAAGAAAAGAGAGAAATAGAGAAAGAAAGAGAGAATTGTAAAAATGGAAGAGCATTCGGCATGCAATTGCGTAATTGGGATCCCGAGGTCGTTCTTTTCTTTTATTGCTTGTTCCCTATATTATGAAATCTAACGACCGCCGTTCTAATTGAATTAATACAAGTACCACCAGAGCTTACCATGCTCGAGTTACATTATATATTCTCTCAAGTTATTCCGTCATTAAGTCTATCTACAAAATAGTCTATGATCGTTTCTAACAATATTACAATTTATGTAAATAGTATAATTTATATGAAACTTTTTTTTTTCATTTTTTTTTTTTTTTTTTTTTTTTTTTAAATCGGATAAATCCTATGAGATACGTAATTTAAATCGTGAATTAAAAGAAAATCATAATGTTCGCATCGAATCGAATTTCATTGTTTGTTTCATTTCTTTTTGTTTTTAACAATAATTTATTTGAAATTATTTATTAATATTCTGTATCAAATAACATACGAGATGTTCCTGTCGATCGAATTTTCTTTTAATTAATCCAATCTAATATCATATACTATAGATCGTTAAAGTGGAACTATCATTAGATTTAATAAGAAATTAGAATAGTAGTTACAAGAGAAAAAAAACAAAGTGTTCCGTTTTCCTTTCTTTTTTTTTTTATCCTCGATTAACTCTTAAAAAAGTCTCGTTTATGAAACGATTTCAATAAATAAATAATCGTAGCTCTGCTTTACTGCGTACGTATGTTAAACGACAGATGCGACACAGTTCGTAAAAAGGACTGACGATATCGATAAGTGATTACTTTCTTTTTTTTGCTTTGACCGAGATACGCTTTTATGTGTGGATGTATGCGTATATATTTATATGTATATGTATGTTATCATTTATATACATTATATCATATACATTAACACTTCAACTTTATATCACCAAGTTGTAATACAGGTTAGGCCGAAAGTGTCCAGATGACTTCTTTTCATGATTTTTTTTTGGGCTAATCTTTTTGATTGAAAAATTACAAAATTTAACTACAGGCCTGAAAAATCTAGAAAACGATATTTAAAACTATCTAACTTTTGGCTCATTTAAAAATTTTTTTGTCAGTTCTGTATTGATTACTATTATAAATATTATACTATTATATATAAACAATGTAATATAATATATTTCTTGTATTAATAATTTAATACAATATTGTTTTAATATATTTATGTATATATAGTATATATATTATATTATATAATAATAATTGTATATTATGTATTATTAATTTTGGCATTACTTATTAATCAAACTCAAAACTTCTACTTCTTGTTATGCATGTATGTATTACATACACTGTTGTCAAAATGGAAACAAGAATAATAAATGCATTTTTTTTATGAACTTACAGATCCGTGCCGCAGATCACGCGGCGGGGCGGCCCCAATGCCGGTTAGGAAGGGCCTCCTCGCCCCACAAAATACTTTTCTCGATACAATCGCAACACGCTTCGATGGAACCCGTAAGTGCTATGAAATTTATTTAATCGCTATTGCATGTTACTTTATCATCTTTATTCTGCCAAAGCAAAAATATATTTTCGCGTGTGATATGAATCATTGATTGACAACATATATATATTGTTTTCAGTTATTTTTTTTCAGAAAATGACATACTCGTCAATATTTTAATACGATACGTTTAGCTTTTTGACAGGACTAATTTTTAAAAAACATGTTATTGTTTGTTTAACTTCAACTTGTATAGAACATAATAAAATTACGAATGAATTCGATCCTGATTATAAATATCAATTTGATATTTCAAAATATCAAAGTTCACGCGATCGGGAAATAATATACCATTAACGGGAATAATTATGTTTCGATTATCCCGGAATGAAATTAGAAGGGCAATTTAATTTGACATTCGATTTGACATCAAAGATTTATTTATTAATTTATTGATAAATCTTTGAAAGGACATGAAAATGAAATGAGTGCAATGAAGTCCATCGATTTAGACGTATGTTTTTTTTTTTTAATTTAAACCTTCGTTAAATTTCGAACAAACATAAGATGTTCTTTTATTTTGTACAGCTAAGAAATGTGATAACAAAAAGAAATTATTTGAACAGAATGCGTACAAATATAATTTCTATTGAATTTACGTCATTCGTTACATTTACAATATTTTTATTATTCAAAATGATAGAACGAGTAAAAATAAAAAGAAATTTATTCCATTTTACTGTAAAAAACTAATGTAATGGTACTTCGCTACTAATAATATTTAAATGCATTTTTATCAAATATGCACTTGTGCATAAGAATGTTATAATAATACATATATATATATATATGTATATATCATATATATATATATATATCATATATATATATATATATATATATATGATAAAACTTTGAGGATGTTTGAAAATCTTGATAATCGGATAATCGAATTTTATTTCAGAGTAGATAATATAGAATACAGCATGCAATATTTTTACAATTATTCGAACTAACAAAGAATGATGAAAATAGACATTTTTACAAAAAATCATATAAAAGATTGTAGCGTAAAAATTTGTGTGTGTATCTCTGTTTGGCATACAAAAGAGTAAAAGCCAGAATTATTAGTATTGCAAAGAAGCACTTATGATATTTCAATTACAACGTAAGATCAGGTATTAGTTTGTTGATATGAAAATTGATATGTGACAATAATACAATATGTATAACTTGTCCCATTGGACTTCTTTATTTGAAAATGACACATTATATTGAATTAAAATTTGCAGTTTTTAGTTTTTCATGTATCTACTATAAGAATTGCAGGTAAAAGTATGAAAGATTGACTTGTAATATTATTAAATGTATACTAATAATATTAAATACTAATGTAAAATATATTAGCATAATCATTTTGTTTTAATCAAAATTTGATTCATATTTATGATTGATTTTTAATCCGGTTGTAGATATATTTTTATAATCCTGCAATTTACATCTTTTCATATATAGATGAATATCTTTCAATGAAAATATGTAGGTAGTTTAAATAGGTATCCATTGCAATTCCAAAGAAGCGCATACGTAATACGATATTCCAATTAAAATCCGACATTTTTAAATAAGAGTTATACTTAATAAGTTTATGAAATATTTTATCTTACTTTTCATTCATTATTTCCTTCGAGTTATCGAGCAACGAACCGCACGATATCTTTAATAAGTTCGTTCCATATTTCCTCATCTTTTTCGTAACTTCTTTCGAAGTCGTCCTATTTCCTCGACGACATATTCGATAATTGTAAGTTTATGAATGCAAGGTAATGCTCATTTCCATGCGATCGAAATTCGCAAAGATCGTGATCCTTATGAGTTACGAGCGATCAAATTCCGATCACGCGAAATAGAAGTTTAAAGTACTTATATTGAAGTATCCATTTTGCTCAATCGAAAGAAAGATTGATTAAATTTGATCATATGTTTTTTCTCTTTATCCTCTCTCTCTCTCTCTCTCTCTCTCTCTCTCTCTTTCTCTCTTTTCCTCTTACTTTTTTTTCGGTTAATTATCTATAAGCATTTCTTTTTATCTCGTAGATACACGTTTGTCAACTTTTTGTGAAAGCTTTTTGCTTAAAGCTTTGTAAATTTTAACGAAAAATTCAGATGTCAAGTATCGTCCAGAGACTTCGGAAAATTTTACGATAAACGTTTGACACAAGTGGTACTATCAACTAGTATTATTATTGTTTTAGGTACGAAATTGATTCCTCGTCGTTGTCTCTTGCTAGTTTCAACAGCTTTAGTCGAACTCACACGTGCGACGATGATACAAATCACAGATGTCCGATAACTGTCTACCGGCGATGAAATACGATTTGATACACGTCGCGAACTAGGAAATAATATTAGCTTTTTCCATTGCTCACATCGAATGTGTATGATCTTTTCGAAGTTGAGAAATTTATCGATAATATATCGTACTCGTTTAACGTCCTCATGATATGATTTTTTTTTTTTAATGAAAAGTATACAGGTTGGTCCAGTAATTATTACCACCTGAAATATCTCCATTTTTTTTTAGATGGTTTTATGGAAAAAAATGTTTAGAACAAAATAAAATTACTATAACAACATGTGATTGTAAAAAGATTATTTCGTTTTTTTTTTTTTTTAGATCATTTTTTACGAGATTACGAAGTCATCGGTATTTTCATAAAATGGCAACATATAATTTTTTTTTATATAAATAATTTGCCGCGCCATTCTGACTAAGAAAACTATTAGGATGAAATGTTAAAAAATAATTAGTTTATGAGATATTTTGAAAAAATGTCTAGTAATTCAACGAAACTGTAAGTAGTCGTAGTTTCTTTTTTTGTTAAAGTTAGAAAAAGATATTCGAAGAAGAAGATGAATTATTCGAGATAGACTATATATTCACGATTATATATATATATTTTTTTTCTGCAATCGCGATAATAAATGTTTATGTGCATTTGTCATAATAATAATGCAAATGCATAAATGTAAAAATAATGGAGATAATTGAGATGATAATAGTTATTGGACTACCCTGTATATTAGTATTTCAGATTTCACGTAAAACAATGAAATCTAATCTCCCTTTGTTCGGATGAAACAGAATATAGAGTAAGTACGTATTTCATGATCCATAAATAATGTACAGAGATATATGTACATATGTATATAATGCAATGTGAGTTTTCATGAGTTGTAATTAAAGACAGAAATATTTGAAAAATGTCTTTCCGGTGTATCCTGAATGAAAATAAAATCTTTCCTACTCGATGTATCATTATTCGAATTGAATTGTCTTTTGAGTATTTCTTGAAAAAATATTCACATCGTTGATCGTACATACATATACGTCGAATTAATTCGTTTTAATTTTATTAAACGTACGAAGAAAACAATTTCATGTATACATGAACGTGTAATAATTCATAATTATTCCATCCGTCACGTTGATAAATATAACGAGTTTAGTCTTATCTTGAAATTATATTGACATTATGAATCATTTATGAGATTAAAGATATGAAAATATGAAAAATTCATTTAAATAATATAAATTTTCTCGATATTAAGAAAAAATATTTAATCAATAATGTTAATATCAAATGAACGTGTATTAATTATTGTGAAACACAGCAGCGTATCTATTGAATACTTTCATGATATAGAATCTGAGTATTAATAGAGGTACAGAATGGCATTAATGATGGAGGCGACTATACACTCATGGGACTAGTGTTCTTCGATTAAATCATGCGAAGATCGTACCAACTGCGATATACGTTTCTACTGTATACATCCTTTGCTTACGTATTATTAAATTTATTTAATAAATATTATTTCAATCAAGATCTTTTACGACAAAATTATTTTAACAATCGTTCGTTCGATCAGAATATTTGTATTTTGTTTCAAATAAAGCCGTCAACATTAAACCGAATGTCAGTCGTAATTGAAAGGGTTTATACACGTACTATTATATATAAACGCTGACCAGAGCTCAACGATTGTTACGTCTACGCGTGTAGGATTTACATATATATATATCTATAGATATATCGTACCTATACTGAAATTATAAGCTAGATCAAAGTAAATATATTGACTACTGTTGAATCATAATTTTCGTTTGGTAATATCTGATATTACTGTAATAATATATTTTAACGATGTCTGTCTTATTTGTCTTTATAACGTTATCTTAAAAGATATAATAAATGATATAAAAAATGAATATGTAAGTATGTTATCAAACTTTCATTTAAGATTTTATAAATATCTTATTTTTATGAAATATCTGCGTTCATATGAATGATTAATGTTGTATATATAGAAGAGAACCAGGTCCTAGCTAAATTTATTTTGGTGCAACGTGTGCAACGTCAATTTTGGTAACGTTCGGTTGATATGAATTTGAATTAAACGCTTCTTCATGAAATCACAGGACGATCGAAATACAACGCAAGCTCGAAATTGATTATATTCGAAGCAGCTTGCACACCATGTTCATGCTAAATCATTTGATTAGTTTAAGGTTTCGTCCATTATCTTCAAAATTGATTCTTATGTATTCGAGCTCTTTATTTGTGTCCTTTCGTTCACCCTCCTTTAGAAACTTCCAAGAAAATAAGTTAATTCCAATAACTTTTATCGATACCAAGTTATAGTGATACGGAGGAGTCTACGAACCAAGAAGAATCTAATTATGAGGAATCAATTCTAGATGATCATCGTTGTCATCGTTTTCGTCCTTATCGTCGTCTTCACAGTCGTCGTCGTCGTTGTCGTCGTCGTGTTAATCAAATTATGGAAAAGTTGTGTCCATGACGAGTACTACAATTGTATTTTTCCTTCCTTTCCTGTGACGATAATAAAATTACAATCGTCGTACTTTTCAAAGTATTAAATCGCTGTAGATATGAACCCAAAAATCCATCTTAGGAAGTTAAGCATTCGACTTTAATCGGGATAC